CATTTTTTTTACTTACTTTGGTATTGGTATTTCATATTGGACAATTGAATTACCTTTGTGAGTAAAAGATAGGAAAATACTTTCAATTCGATAAAAGATAGTTATATCATATTTAGACTATCTAGACGAGTTAAATCGAGGGTAACGTTGGATTTGATACTACTCCAATTCATAGTCAACTATATCAGCATTATTTAAAAACGAGATATGAGTCTCAATACAATTAACAAATTTTTTATTATAAAAACATAGAGAAAGTAGATATTTTGTAGTACTATAAATTTTTCTTCACCATAACGGTAAGACACTTAACTCAAAACAAAAGTTTGAATTTTTATAAATACTCAAATTAAATACATTAATAATGTCCAGAACTATCAACTAACCACGAAAGGTTATTCTTATTACAAAATCTCGAACTCAACAACAAAATACTTGAATTCAATTAAAAAGCATCGAGAGTGTAAGAAAATTAATACCCAAATAAATAATTTCATTAAACCATAAAATTACTCCTTGCCTATAAATTTACTTTTTGAAAAGAAAAAGTAATTAACTAATTGAGTAGTTTAATTTCACCACTTATTTCAAATTGAAATCATACATTAGACTAAAATTTTAAGATAGAATTAACTAGAAAACAAAATTTCCCTAAAATTCAAACTTGAAAGTTAAATTTGAGTCACTCAAAAGTAAAAAAGAAAAAAAAAAGGAATGGAATAAGATGAATATCGTAGAGGAATAGCTTAACTCCGCAACCAAACACCAAAAACATTTAGGGCATCAGTTTCCTTCCCTTTATAAACCTCTCCGTCTTCCACACTCCCATTCTCTTCTTCCGCCCAACTTCTCCATTTAATTTCTCTGTAATTTTTGTTTCAATTTGTTCTCTTTTTGTCGGTGAATATGATGAAGGAAAATAGATGGATGATGAACCATGATCTTAAACATCCTCTATATCGCTACGTTCTTTCTGATTTGTCCTTCCATTTTTCCTTCTGCTTCGCAGTATTTTCATTAAATTTACCTTCGATTCATCATTGGGCTGCTTCTGTTACATTTATCCTTTTAAATTGAATTTATCGATGTTTCCCATTTGGATTTCGCATGCTGATTATTGAATTTGTTAGGGCTCTGTTTTATTTATTTATTTGGTTTTTGTTGAATTGAAGAAGCTTCTAGATGTACTTGCCCCAATTTTTCTACTTCGTTGTACCAATTTTTTGCCCTAGATTTTGGGAATGTAAGCAGAGATCGAGGCCTTTCATGTTTTTGCAGTGCCTGCAGAGCTTCATAGCTGTGCGATTGGATTTAGCTCTCTCTCTCTCTCTCCCTCCCCCTCTTTCAGTTCATCTTCTGGAGTCTAGACTGATTCGTAGTTCGGGCTTCTAGAAGATTTGGGAGTAGAGGTCGTACATTTTCCTACTAAACTTTCAGTTTTTTGTTGCTGGGGTTTATTTGATTTTCAATTGTTTATTAGGGTGAGATAAGCATGGAGATTTTGTTTCTGTTTTTATGATTCTCAATGTGATCTGATTGCAATTGCTTTTTTAGTTTCATAATAATGCTTTCTATTTTGACTATTACTTTTTATTCTTCCTCGACTCTCGAGAATTTGTCAAGATTTGGCCAATTTCTTTCGAGCTTGATTCTGCCTTTAGACTCGTTATTCAACTGAACTTCTCGTTGGCTTTGACCCATAAATTGACATTTGGGCATTCGGCCAGATATATTTATCAAGGCATTTAGCCAGATAAATTTGTTGGTTAAATATATACAAAATATGTTGTATATTTAAAATGATAATTATTTGCTTTGCTGAAATTGTTAGAAGACTACTGTGAAACAACAATCTCATACATCCCGACTAATTTCAATAGGTATAAAAACAACTTTTCAATTAAGAAATATGTTGATTTAATATATACTAGATTGTTGTGTGGGAGTATTAAAATAGGAAGATGAGACATCAATTGTTGTATTGGGAGCCTGAACTCTTTGACGAAGGTCAGATTCAACAAATGGAAGGGTAGGTTAGCTTTCTCGGTACAAATTGACTTACTAAATTAGTAATAATTAATATATTAATTATAATTAATTATAATTCTCTAATGCAAGAAAAAGATTAATTTACCTTTTACATATACTATAGATATTAGTGTTTATGAATATATATGTGTTTTTAACCTATGTAATTTTAACGCAAAATTAAACAAAATTACTGAAAAAATAAATAAAGAATATTATTTAGTGCATATTGGAATAATTTTTTTAGTTCACTTTTTTTCACGTTAAAATCCAATGATAAGGGCATTTGCGCCCAATTATAGAAAAAGATTATTATTATACTCAAAATGAAAGATCGTCTACAATTTGTTGACCCCTAATCTTAATGCCACTAAAATTATATTTGATGTTTAAAAATGGCCCCCCAATAAATTTTCGTTTAGAAATCGCCTAAAGTTCCTCCAATTTTCTCCTGACAGCAGATTTTTTTTTTTGGATTAGTTTAATTTCCTCAAAAAAAAAAAAAAAGAATCAATTTCTCCCTTGAGCTGTAAAAATAGATGATTGAGCGAACCGAAAGGCCGAAAAGGAAGTTTTTGTTGACCAGCGGCTAGTACACCAATAAGGCAAAAACCAATTGATAAGAGAAATTATCACGAAACTAATAAGGAAAAAGGAAGTTAAATGATAAGGAAAAAAATATGCTCTGTTGGGATGATGGTGCCACAACATAATTTGTAGGATATTGTTGTTGTCGATATTACAATATTGTTTTCCCAAGGATCGAGATATATGGCATGGGTATAATGATGGTATTTTGAATTGTATAATCCAAAAATTGGACGTAGTCTCAAGATAAAGAACGAACTAATATAACTAATTGAAGAATTGATCTATATTTTTTTTCCAACATTCAATTGCTCAAAATTACTGAAAAGTCAATAAATTTCGGCCGGAACGGTGGTGGTGGCAGCGGCGGCATTGCAGGCAGTGCAACTACAAGGTTCGATCGGAATGATGGTAGCGATGGCAGCGTATGCGAAGGAGAGAGAGTTGGGTTTCGACAAGTGAAAATCGCAGCTAATAGCAACCATTTTCAGTCATTGAATGTAAAACAAATTATAGAAATGAATGACCTAGAAAGTCTCGATTTTAGTTTTTTTTTTTATAATTATTTTTGTCACTACATTATTTCTGTAATTTTTTTAAATGCATTATTTGGAAAAAAAAATGCCTAAATTGGATTGAAGTTTCGAGAGCAAAGAACCTGTTTTTACGGATAACTTTAGACTATTTAAAAAAGGTGGCATCTATTCATTGGCTTTTTTTCTTTTTTTCTTTTTTCCTTTTTCAAAGCTTTCCATCTACTCAAATAAACACGTTCTTTCTAAGTTTCCTTTTTTGAACCAATTATTAACAATAATTTGTTTTATGTACAGAAACCGTTTCCATTTTTATTACAAATTTTACATCATAAAATGTCAAAAACACTAAATATTCTTAAAACGATGGATTGTAATACATATTCTTAAATTAGTTAGAGTACATATTTTTGTTCTTAATTGTCGGATAGTTTTTTTATTTATTTAATTGTTATTGTTTAAAGAGTTTTTGTTATCTTTCACTCATATTTTAAAGAGTTTTTTTTTTTAATTATACTACATGATATGATATTTAATGAGTTTGATAAAAATTAGAGAAAGAAATTAGATCAATTCAAATACTCGAGCACGTAAAGGGAGATACCTTCATCGAAATGATGTTTGTAACATGACATGACCCATTTTTTCACCGGACAACTTGATGTGTGAATTTCTTTCCACCGCTCTCTTTTTTTTTTAAAGAAAGAATTTTGGTGTACCGTTAAGAGGAAGTGTCTTTGGTATCTTTTCGTCAGACACTTTTTTTCTCTCTTTTTTTACACTAGCTAGTTATGAACAATATTTTGTTTTACGTGCAGAGATTGTTTCTTATAATTACAAATTTTACATCATAAGGCGTAAAAAAAACGATAATAAACATTCAGTATTATTATGTCTTCAACAATTATTGAAAAATTTTATAAAAATGGAAAATAAGAAAGTTACTAAACCATGTATAATATCATATGCTTTACATCAAGTCTTAAAGGAAATGAGATATTTGTTGTTTTAGAGGAGAAATTAGACTTCCTCCACCACAATTTCCTTCTTTAAAAAGAAAGAACAATACTGAAATAATTAAGTGGGAGTGTCTTTTGTTCTTTACTTGAGACATGATATTTCAAAGCCTTTTCATTTTCCTTCTTTGAGACATGATTAATTATGTAATCCTTTTAATTATAATTTTTACATAAGCTTGTAAAAAACACTCAATCATGTGCCACAACAATTATTGAAGCATAATAACATAGAATGATTTAAGCTAAGTCTTCATGAGGAAATAAGATATTTATAGTTGTAGAACGAGTTAAATTATTAGTGAAATACATACATATATATATATATATTTATATTGATAGCGTATTAGCAAAATATTTACCCAATAGTTTATTTTTTAAATGCTTATGTAAAATGGTGGATTATAATATATGAGCCAAGTGTTAGTACTTATTCTTGAGTTCTTTTTTTAATTTAGTTTTTTTTTTTCGTTTCAATTTAGCACGGCATGTTTTAAGATTTTTGAATTATATAATTTTTGGAGGTAAATCTTAAGTTGGCTATAGTAAATGACACAATGATCTAGCCTTAGTTATCTCATCGTAACTATTCGAGAACTGACACTACCCTTCTTTATTTGTCTGATGCATGAATCTTGCTCTCAACACCTCTTCTTTTCTTTAAAAAGAAAGAACTCTAGTGCCTGGTTAAGAGGGAGTGCCTCTAGTATTTCACCTCCAACGTAATTCATAGCTATCCTTAAAAAGTGTACAAGAATTTTAAAATTTTCGAGTGTATCATATCATTCAACCAAAAAAAAAGTATAATTGAAAATTTTTAGAACAACCCGAGAGAAGACTGAAGAAGCAAATATAATTAAACAACCAACACAGTCCCTTAACACTAATGGTTCTTTCTTTTTCTTTTCAGCTTTTTTTCCTTCCTTATTACATGTTTTGTTTGCTTCAACATATATTGGTTTTTTTACTTCAATATCATCTTTTTAAAGGCCTGCATTTGGAAGGTGTGTTTGCAGTTGAATTTAGTTAATGGTTATTCATTAGAAATTCCACGTGGCGTCAGGTGGGAATTCGAACTCCCACCATGGCTGCTCCTCCTTCTGCAACTCCACGTCGCTGCCCGACCCATAAACCAAACCCTTCAGTCTCTCGCTCACTTTTGCCACTCCAAATTCAACCATGGATTCCCCAAGCTGCCCAAAAAAACAAAACAAGTTAGTTAGGGATGAAATTATTGTACTCGGTCCAGTTGTAGTAAGGTCAAAGATGGAAGGCGAGGAGACACTTGACTACCCAATCAAAGTTATGCTAAGAATTCCAGGTTAAAAAGATAAGAAACTTAGTCTATATCTATTATAAACCTTTTAAGATTCATTTTCTTTTGAAAGCATCCTTAACATATCCCTTCAAATTCATGGCTCTTTTGACTCGTCAATCTTGATCGGATCTCATTTTTTGACCATATGCTTGTTTCAACATTTCAAACTCTGATACCGTATTAATATACAAGGAGATGAGAGGAATAATAATTGTCTGTTATAAACTTTTGTAGGATCCATTTCTTTTGAACGTAGAATCTTTAACAATTAATCTTGAGATGATACCCATGAATATTGATACGGTATCAGATAGCCAAAATGCTCAAACGAGTATCCATTCCGAGATCTGACTCATCCTTAATAAAGGTTCAATTGAACGGTTAACCCAGTTGTGTGGGTCCACTTGAAGATTAAAAAAATTATAACATAAAGTTTATTGTTTTGATGATATGGTTACTTGGGCATGGATTGTGTGGAGAACAGAGTTGGCGGCGGCGGAGAAGCTGGCACTGACAACTTCGGCACCTTCTTGTTGAAGAATGCGAATAGTTTCGCGGAAGAGGAACTGATTGTCGGATCCACTGCTCAGAAAAATCTGCAGACTGCGACCAATCTCCTGAATTTTCAGCTGAGGCGCCGCCGGAGAAGAAGAAGAAGAACCCTCCATTGTTGCGGCCGTGGAGCTCTGCTTCCCCATCAGCCGCTCCTTCTTCTCCTTCGCAGCGTTCACTTTCTTCTCTGCCTCTTTTATGTACTTTATCGCTTCGTCTATCTGCTCCGGCAGTGTCAGTGAAATCTGCTGCATGAAATAACACCTAAATTTTATTTACAAAACATCTAAATTTCTGCACAAAACGCAGAAACAGAGTAAAACAGAGTAGAACAGAGATGACCCTGTTGCGGAAATCACATAAAAATTGTAAAAAAAGGACCTTTGAATCCTGATTTGGGAGGAGGGAATTGAGCTGAGAGCAGAGGTTTTTCATCTCATTTCTTCTGTTTTTCTCCACAATTCTGCGTTCGACCTTGGAGGAAGAGGAAGAAGCAGCAGACAACTTGAAATTTCGATCCATTATTCGATGAAAATGTTGAGGAAATTTAGTGTAAAAAGTGATTCTTCTTGTTTGTTTGTTTGGCGACAGAGAGGAGCTGGAACCCAGGTGTGGCTTTATATACCTTCTCGAAAAGTGGCGAGCAGAGAGGGGGCGAGATGACGTCATGTATGGCTACGTCAGCAAGTTATGTCATCACGCAGCCATTGGAGAGACCTGAGGTTGAGAGTTGGAATCTTGGACTACATTTATCAAATCAAGATGTACTAACATTGGATGAGCCACATAAATTGATTAAGTGAGAGAATATTAGGTGACTCAATAATATAGCGCGCCAGAATGGTTACTTATTGAAAATTATGAGCCTAAAATAGATATTTTGAAAGTTTGATAACTAAATGGAATAGTCCAATTGTTTAAGAGCTAAAATAGATATTTTGAAAATCCATTAACTAAAACAAAATAGAGTTCGAAAGTTTAGAGCCCATTTGGTTGACAATCGTGAATATGCTTCTTGTTTATAGATTTGCTGAATCTAAATATGCATACCTTTTGGTTTGAAATATATGTTCATTATCGCTGAAGTATACACTTTGGCGTTTTGTTAAGTATATTATTCTATGTTATAAACTAATTTTATTTTTATTAAAATTGAAACATGTGAAATATAATAATTATAATTATATACAACATTGTAAAATAATAATTATAGAACATTCATAAAAAAAATGTTCATAAATTAAGTAATATTATTTTAGATTAAATTGAGATTCAATTATTCAAATATTCTACCAAACACAAATGTAAAAACACTTAAAACAAATAATACAATTATGTTTTTCATTGTGTTTTTTGTTTCCAATTAAACATACCATTAAAAATTAAAATAAAATTTGAACCTTTAAAAGTTTGCAGAACCATGAAAATTACATAAATCCAGTAATGTTAGCTAATATAAACATGAAATTTTGGGGGCCAAATTAATCAACTACAATTCTAGAGAGAGGATAGAGAAAATGAGTCAATAGCCAGCTGGGATATCAGTGAGCGATGTGTGAAAAAACGTTTGGAAGAAAAGATTTTATAAAGATCTAAAATGAATTTTCAAGTCAAATATAATATATATATATATATATATATATATATATATATATATATATATATATTTGTTTTTTGAAAAATTTCAAGTCAAATATTGCTGGCAAAATAATTGTCTATTTCAATATATAATATATTTATGGTTGTTAGTACAATCCACGCTATTTGATTTCTCTTTTAATGATGCTTTAATTCAAACTTATATTAAATATATATCAATCTCAAATTATTTTAAAAATTAATCCTTAGAAAATTATTAATCGTCTCTCTCCACCATTTTTGAGTTGCATGTGTTTTTCTTTTTAAATTCTAGCATGTCACAGAAGACATATGCCTAAATGGTACCAAAATTGTCATTTTGGTACCGTAGTAATGTGATTGTTTTTTAACTAAAATAAATGTTATATTAAAATTATTTTCTCTTTTAACTAAATTTAAATAAATGTTACCAGTTAAAATTTATACTAAAATAAAATAACTACTGATTCTAAAAAAAATATTATGAAGAAAAATATATTTAGGTGTTTTTACTAAATACTATAAATACTACATTAATATAATTCATTTAATTTACTTTTATGGTAAAATAAAATGTATCTTTTATTCTAAAATATTTTTTAAACAATATATTTTTAATAATGTTTTATTTTTATTTTTAGAATGAGCACTTGTTCCAATAATATATTTTTAGTAGTAATTATTTTACTTTTTATAATTAGTAGTTGTTTTATTCTAGAAAATAAAATTTTAATAAGTAATATTTATTTAAATTTGTTTAAAAGATAAATAATTACAATATAATTATTTTATTTATTTTTTAGTACGAGTAGATGTTAATTATCGTTGTGTTATGCTCATGTAGACAAAAATAAATTTTATATTTTCTTCTAAAATAATTTTTTAAAATAATAGGATCTCTAAATTAAAAAATAGGCCTACCACCACTGTACCAAAACAGTAATTTTGTATAATTTAGGCATATGTCGTTTATTGAAAAGACGACATAGCAGAATTAAAAAACAAAAGAACACCCATGGCACCAACGAGACGTCATGTAACTCGAAAATTGTAAAGTGACATAAAGAGACGACCTATAATTTTCCAAGTATTATTATTGGAAATAGTTTGGAAGTTAATGTATATTTGGAATAAATTTGAATTAAAGCATTATTAAAAAAAATCTCATCCACTCTCTCTATAATTCCTTTTATATTTTCGGTATGATATTAACCTGGATCAAAATATAGTTTTTATTTATATTCGAGATTTTTTCCGTTGTGTGCATCCTCTCCACAGGTAGGAAAACAAGTATGCAGACCTTTTGTCTTTTTTTTTTTATTTATAGGTTTTAACTTTTTGATGGAGGGAAAAAAA